GTTAAGGGCCTATATATTTTCGATTTAAGCCACGAGATCCACTTCCTTCCTCGCTGCCTTCCTTCCTGTTCTCGACTATTTTTCATGACTAGTTGAACCCATTCAAATGCTTATGAGTTTTTTAGTTGTTCATGTGCTTGCTTTGGAAAAATCAACGGCGATACAATCGAATTGTCATAGAGCCAACGAGGAACAATGATTCTACAGTACAGTATACATTGAGCATTCGCTTCCAACTCAACGAGAACATCCGGTCAATGAAGGTGAGGCTTTGTAGAATGAAGAGAAGTTTCTACTGCCCACTCTGTGATTCCAATAATTCGTAAATGATGGTGATGTCATCATGATACAGAGAACTATGAGGCCATAATTAAAAGATAAAACCAATTGAAGTAGAGGGGAACTGCAGGTAGCTTGGAAGAAGCAGTCATTTCCTTTGGCCTTTCTCCCTCATGTTACGTAATGATATGATGAACAATCCTTTTAGTTGTTGCAAAATTTGGTATTCACCGGCACAGTATCAAACTTTGTCTGCTTTGTATTCTTAGCAGCTTCTCATATTGACTTTCTGCATTTCTATTCCGACGTTGTCGCCCATTACTTTGACGCCGCCCTTAACCTGTATATCGCCATGTGAGTTTTCATAAGCTTCTAGATTGACAATATAGTTCCGAAAACTGTACACAGTTCCCCTATTGTTAAGACTGTCCGAGGTAGGAGATACAGTACCTAGGATAATCACTTTGAAGGACAAACATGAGAGATGATTCCTTGTCTTATATAAGGAAAACGCGTTTAGATACAGAACACCGGGATGGGAAACCGTTGAAGAGTTGCACGAGGACTTTAAGAAGCCATGAACACTTTACGAACCCAGCTGCAGCTTCAGCTTCGATGCAGCTTCATATTATTGCGGGTCACTTCTCCGGGATCAGTCAATGATTTTCTCAAAAGTAAAAAGGTCATTGTCTGCACAAAATGACAATGTTGTTGCAAAGCATAGTATGGTCGACATAAATCCATGCTAGCCAGTAATTATTACAGATACGCAACTATGATACCCATCATTGGTTATTACAGTGACGACACTTATAAAAATATCGTCAGAGCGCTTCCAGTGTTCGGTAAGTCTCCATAAATAAATGACAACAACGACAAATTATTTCGCTTCTTCGGGAAGAGTTCTGCCGTCCAAGCCAATCTCACGAGAAAAACTTTTCCTTCCAATTGTTTAATTTATGCATTTATCCAAATTTTTTATCTCAGGACGATTCTTTCATGACTCGAGCGTTTTCCCTGAACGGACTACTGTTGAGGAAGGTCATATCTACTTTGCCAATCTACATAGACAATG